CCATCTCCAGGGAGAAAGTGTCAGAATGGAACAGAATTGGAGGACGCCAAGGTGGTGTCCACGGTGTCCACTCTCTTGACGTCTGGGGAAAATCCTCACACATATTTCGGCGACCTTACCAGTATTTTGTGTTGGATGTTGACTGTTGAGTGCGTGACGGCTGGAAAAATACTGTTGTTTTTTTTTTCCTGTCTCAGCCACTAGCCCAGCCCAACAGTCAGCCATGTCTCCCAGGACCTTGGTTCCTTGTATTGGGGAATGGCATCAGGGACCAAGATATGGAGGCCAGGCATACTTGTTGCTACTGGGATTTACATTCACAAATATTAACAAATATATATATATATATACACATATATATTTTTGTTTATATTTATATTATATATATAATATATATATATATTTTTTGAGACAGAGTTTCACTCTTGTTACCCAGGCTGGAGTGCAATGGCACGATTTCGGCTCACCGCAACCTCCGCCTCCTGGGTTCAAGCAATTCTCCTGCCTCAGCCTCCCGAGTAGCTGGGACTACAGGTGTGCACCACCATGCCCAGCTAATTTTTGTATTTGTAGCAGAGACGGGGTTTCACCATGTTGACCAGGATAGTCTCAGTCTTTTGACCTCGTGATCCACCTGCCTCGGCCTCCCAAAATGCTAGGATTAAAGGCATGAGCCACCATGCCCGGCCAACAAATATTATTTTTTATTTACTTATTGAAGATGGGGTCTGGCTTTGTTGCTCAGGCTGGAATACAGTAGCTTTTTTTTTTCTTTTTGAGATGGCGTTTGGCTCTTATTGCCCAGGCTGGAGTGCAATGGCGTGATCTCGGCTCACTGCCACCTCTGCCTCCCGGATTCAAGTGATTCTCCTGCCTCAGCCTCCCAAGTAGCTGGGATTACAGGGACCCATGACCACGCCCAGCTAATTTTGTATTTTTAGTAGAGATGCGGTTTCTCCATGTTGGTCAGGTTGGTCTCGAATTCCTGACCTCATTGATCCACCCACCTTGGCCTCCCAGAGTGCTGGATGACAGTCGTAAACCACCTCGACTTTTTTTAAGTACGGAGTTTAAATTTGGAATAGATGTTGTCACACAGCGGAAGTTCCCTGCTTTGAGTCCCTTGACAACAAAGGCTACGCCTTAGCCATCACTATTGGAAGGAACAAATCACTGTATTGGGTGAACGTCCTGAGTGTTTTTGCTCCAGAGAATGAAAGGCGCCAACCCTCCTGGGAAGTTTAGTCAGCGTGGACAGCGCAGGGTCATCCCAGGTCATCCCCATCACCGTAGGGCTACCAGCCAGTGTCCTCTTCATGTCCTGGGTCCTGCAGGAAAGCATGGCACTGATTGACCGATTGACTACTAGGTGAGCTGTGCCTCTTTCCACTTTTGCCACAAACGTGGGAAGAAAGGGTTTATTCATCGATTAAATCCCTTTGGGCCCAACTCATGTGTCATGTTAGTGAGCCTGGTGCCCCCAGACACACACCACCAATGCCCTCAGGTCCCTTTCAGCCACCTCAGAGGAGCAAACTTCACGCCTGCCAGACTGCAGCTCTCAAGGAAGAGCCAGGCTGCAGGCAGCGCCTTGCATGTGCTTCCCCAGCTCCGAGAGCACCACAGGCCCCGCCCACCCAGCAGAGCCTCCCCAGACAGAGCAACGGCCAGAGGTCCCCAGACCCCTTCTCCATCCCAAGCTCTGTCCTCCTAGGGAGTCCAGTCTGCAGCCCTGCCTGGAGGTCTGGCTCTGGAGGTTCTAAGGACGAGGCCACCAGACCCCCACGGACCCCTTCTCTCACCTCCAGCCCTTGGTCTCCCTGACTCCCTTGGCTGCTGGGACTCCATGGATTCCCACCGGAGACCACAGAGAAGTGCCCTACAGGGGGATGGCAGACATCTACCCACGGGTACCAGTCCTGCTTGGGGGTTCTCGGGCCCGGGGCAGCCCTGACTCACTGGCACAGAGGATCAGACCCCAGGACACGCACCCAGGGCACAGGGACTTCACCGTCCTGGCCATGTGGGAATGGAGCTGTGGCCGGAGGGTGGGTGTACATCTCATGCTGACCCAGCCCCACTGTCCTCCTCTGACCCTTATGGTCACATTGCCTCTCTGGGCCTGGTTCTTTGTAAACTGGAGTTTATTTTATTTTTTGAGTCAGGATCTTGCTTTGTTGCCCAGGCTGGACTGCAGTGGTGCGATCTTGGCTCACTTGCAACCTCCACCTCCTGGGGTTCAAGCAATTCTTGTGTCTCAGCCTCCCGTGTAGCTGGGACTACAGGTGTTGCCACCATGCCCAGCTTTATTTTCTATTTATTTATTTATTTTGTCTTTTTGATGTAGAGTCAGAGTTTCATCATGTTGCCCAGGCTGGTCTCAAACTCCTGGCCTCAAGCGATCTGCCCACCTTGACCTCCCAAAGTGCTGGATTACAGGCGTGAGCCACTGTGCCTGGCCTGTAAACTGGAGTTCATAATGAAACCCACCTACTAGGGCTACTAGGGGATCACATGACAATTTGTTCAGAAAGCTCCACCCACAACAGTGCCCAAGATTGGCATTGGTGTCACCTTGGTATTATCAAAACTACAGGTAGTGGGGGGTGTGTGTGTGTGTGTGTGTGTGTGTGTGTGTGTGTGCGCGCGTGTTTTGACACAGTCTTGCTCTGTCGCCCAGGCTGGAGTGCAGTGGCTCAATGTCGGCTCACTGCAACCTCTACCTCCCCAGTTCAAGCAATTCTCCTGCCTCAGCCTCCCGAGTAGCCAGGATTACAGGTGTGCACCACCACGCCCGGCTAATTCTTGGATTTTCAGTACAGACAGGGTTTCACCATGTTTGCCAGGTTGGTCTTGAACTTCTGACCTCAAGTGATCCACCCACCTCAGCCTTCCAAAGTGCTACGATTATAGGCGTGAGCCACCGTGCCGAGCCTATTTTTTCATTTTTATTTATTGATTTGAGGGACAGAGTCTTCCTCTGTCACTCAGGCTGGAGTAGTGGCATAATCACTGCTCACTGCAGCTGTGACTTCCCAGGCTTGAGTGATCTTCCCACCTCAGTCTCTTGAGTAGCTGGGACCAGAGGTGTGCCTCACCGCACTCAGCTAATGTTCTATTTTTTTTTTTTTAAGAGACTGGGGTTTCCCTATGTTGCCAAGGCTGGTCTAAAACTCCTAGTGGTGACCACACCAGGACATGCGTGTGCACCCTTTGCACCTGAGTGTGCAGCAGAGCCGTCTGCAGGCCCCACACTGTCACACCTGCAGCAGCTCACCCTGCACCCCGAGATACAGTGTCAAGAGGAGACAACAGTGTGGTGTGTAGCCATCTGTGTAAAAGAAAAAAATGTGGCTGGGCGTGGTGGCTCACGCCTGTAATCCCAGCACTTTGGGAGGCTGAGGAGGGCAGATCATGAGGTCAGGAGATCAAGACCATCCTGGCTAGCATGGTGAAACCCCGTCTCTACTAAAAATACAAAAAAATTAGCTGGACATGGTGGCACGTGCCTGTAGTCCCAAGCTGCTCGGGAGGCTGAGGCAGGCGAATCGCTTGAAGCAGGGGGGTGGAGGTTGCACTGAGCTGAGATCGCATCACAGCACTCCAGCCTGGGCGGCAGAGCAAGACTCCGTCTCAAAAAAAAGAAAATGCATGTACATGTGTGCATGTGTTTACTGGAATTTTCATAAAATGATCTCTAGGAATATCCACAAGATAATCCTGTTTATCCTTGGAAGCAGAGCTAGGGAGCCTGGAGCTGGGTGGGAAATGGGCATTCTTACCCTCATACCTTCTACATCTTTTGAATTTTGAACCATGTGCACAAATGACCTAGTAGAAATAAACTGCAAACATTTAAGGAATTGTCAGCTGTGTAGGAAGTGTTCTGGGTTGGTAAGAATTTTGAAACTAGGGGCCGGGCATGGTGGCTCACGCCTGTAATCCCAGCACTTTGGGAGGTCAAGGCAGGCGGATCACCTGAGGTCAGGAGTTCAAGACCAGCTTGGCCAATATGGTGAAACCCCGTCTCTCCTAAAAAAACAAAAATTAGCTAGGCATGGTGGCACGTGGCTGTCATCCACAGAGGCTGAGGGAAGAGAATCACTTAAACCCGGGAGGTGGAGGCTGCAGTGAGCCAAGGTTGTGCCACTGCACTCCTGCCTGGGAGACAGAGCGAGACTCTCTCTCAAAAAAAAAAAAAAAAAAAAAAA